TCTAGCATGAACTTGGCAATGATTTTAAAAGATATTTCAAGCAACTGATTTCGAAAATGTATAAAGTTCCGCTGCGATTACACGCTAATTAACATCCTAATGGTTTGATTGGTTTGATCACCTACATGTTACGCAACGAATAGTGTTTTTCTGTCTAACTGAAAGTTCCCTATCGATGACACATCAACGCCAAAATACGTCCAGGTCAAAACTTTGGCAGGGCACATCATGACGAAGCCAGCTGCAATCATTCACCAACTGACCCGTTGATTGGCAGGTGACGGTTGCGATTTCAGTAGATTATGAGTTGAACTTTTTTCACATTGAAAACGAGATCATTAACTCTTTAACGCCCTGGAGATCGTGTAGCTCCATCGGTACTAGACTCGTAACAGAAGACGGTGTTGCCGTTTGAAAGTATGTTCAATACGTGTCTATAGCCTCCACTTGATACACCACCAAAACTCATCACATCGGCGGCATCAGTCAACTGTGGGACAAGCTTGAGTGCGGTTGGGTGCATTTATCAAAAAAATAACTCGAGTATTGAAGGGTTAATACGGAGAAGATTCTCGTTTTCCTTCATTTTAGGAGAGAATTGAATAAGTTAATATAAATCAGCTTATTCTGCTTCTGAGTAATTAAAGAGTTTCGATCCACTGTAACCTATCAGAAATTGAAGAAATGATCATGCAGCATTAAAAAGGACCAGTCATTTTTCCAATGTAGAAATCTAATCGATAAAGAGGTTTTCTACAAATGCAAGTCAGTAGATTATGATGGCGGGGTGTGCGATAGACTTACCTCCACATGGTGCACCCTGGGCAACGTATATTCTTACGGCAAAAAAGTCTATCGATGGGCAGTTGACTTCTGACTTCAAACTACCATCACCCCATTGACGGGCAACGTATACTCATACGGCAAACAAGTCTATAAACCAATGGGCAACGTATACTCAAACGGCATACCTCCACGTGGTGCACCCTGGGCAACGTGTACTTACAACCTCCATGTGGTGCACCCTGGGCAACGTATACTTATGCGGAAAAAAGTCTATTGACTGGTAGTTGACTTCTCACTTCAAACTACCATCACCCCACTGTATAGTTGACCACTGACTTCAAACTACCATGACCCCACTGTATGCCTTGACTTCTGACTTCAAACTACCATGACCCCACTGTATGTTACAAAGTATACTCATACGGCAAAAAGTCTATAAACCGGCAGTGGACTTCTGACTTCAAACTACCCTCACCCCACTATATGTCACAACTTCTCACTTCAAACTACCATCACCCCACTGTATGTCATTGTGTATGCGCATACGGCAAAAAAGTCTATAAACCGGCAGTTGATCTAACCCTAACACGGCAAAAAGTCTATAAACCGGCAGTTGACCTCTGACTTCAAACTACCATGACCCCACTGTATGTCATATTTGGGCAACAGACCCATACGGCAAAAAATCTATTAACCGGCAGTTGACTTCAAACTACCATCACCCCACTGTATGTCATATTCGTCTACTTCCACTTCAAACTACCATCACCCCACTGTATGTCATATTCGAAACTTCAAACTACCATCACCCCACTGTATGTCATATTCGACATCCTTCAAACTACCATCACCCCACTGTATGTCATATTCGACCTCTCAAACTACCATCACCTCACTCTATGCCATATTCGAATATAATATGTCAAAAAGTCTATTAATCGGCAGTTGACTTCTGACTTTAAACTACCATGACCCCAATGTATGTCATATTCGACCACTTCAACTGCCATCACCTCACTCTATGCCATATTCGACTATTTCACAGACTACCATCACCCCAATGTATGTCATATTCGACCACTTCAACTGCCATCACCTCACTCTATGCCATATTCGACTATTTCACAGACTACCATCACCCCACTGTATGCACTACTTCCGCGGTACTCACCTCACCTTTTTTCTACCTTTTCTACCTTCGTCTTTGAATCACTCTCCTGTTCCCAACCCCCTCTCGACTTTTTTCACTTTGATGTTCTTTCTCCTCTATGAAGCCTGAAGTCAACTAAAGGACTAATGATAACTATCAAAACGCCTGCCATTTGATATAAATAAATAGATTAAGATGGCTAATTGGCATCGTATCTCCCTTAAATACTTCAATTAATAATTTATCTTTGTTCTCTACTCTTAAACCATAATTACATGATGTTTTTAATCTAGATGCTACATACCTGGTATTAGACACCCAGAGTTCACTATTACCTTTGATTACTTTTTTATAGAAATTTTTAATAATCAAATTTTTCTGGCAATTCTTTGACAACAATACATCAGTGGAATAAAATTGATTAAGCAATTAGAGCATAACATGATGAACTAGAATCAAAGAAAGTTCAAAGTGACTAAATGGGCATGCCAAATTCACCCCCAACTGCCTAAAAAGGTCTTTTTAATATTTATTAACTTTGTATGTGTGAAAAGAGTAGTTGAAATCGATTTCTAAACTCAATTTATTTATTTACTTCAAATGGCAGGCGTTTTGGTAGCTATCATTAGCCCTTTAGCTGACTTCGGGCTTCACAGAGGGAAGGTTCATCAAAGTAGAAGAAAGTCGAGGGGTGGGGTACAGAAGAGCGATTCACAGATGTAAAAGAGGCAGACACACACAAAGGTAGGGGAAAAGGTAAGATGAGTACTGCGGAAGGGGTCGAATATGGCAAGCAGTCGGGCCATGGTAATTTGAAGTCAGAAGTCAACTGCCGGTTAATAGAATATAATAATAAAATAATGTAGAAATATATCAGGAAATATGCTTTGAGGGAATGAATGATAATAAAGAAGTGGAAAAGGAGGACATATTTAAGGGCGAATTTTTACTTGATTAAGAAGTAATCAGACACTCAGATCAACCACATAAAATTCACCACCTCGATTATCCTGAATTCAAAGGGGAGGATGAGTAACAACTTCATTCCAATCAACAAGGAGGGGAACCATTGAGGTGATCACAGACTTGATTATTTTGCGAGCTCACATAAGAGTCCCACTGTAAGCACCAGATGCACGAAGCGAGGTAAAGTGATTAAAAAAAGTGGCCACCAACCTGCCTAACATTCCTGAGCATTTGATCAACTACATTATCGACGCTGATTCCGCCGTCTGCCTTAGTTATATCATCACTTAGCATATGAACTTAGTCAGATTGATATAGATGCTGGACTTCTTCAACATAGATTTTCTTGATATGGTTGTTCCAACAGTCGGCAGGAAGAATTGGCGAACCTGCGTGGATTCTACCCAGAAATCGAGACATGTGCTATCGAAATTGCAATCACTCCATACTACTGCCTCTCTGATACTTTAGAGGACAAATTTCTACAAAATTTTATCCCCACCTCCCCTTTATTGATTTTCAATATTCCCGCTGGATTTAGTTCCAGCTGATGCAAATGGCTTTTTTTGTGCCTCTATTCTCACTTTCATTTAGCCGCTATTTTACCTCCAATGTAAAATTGCAAAAAAGCAATGTTTATACGAACACTGACCAAGTAAATATGCATGTCTCAGGTAAATTGACTAGCATATCTGTCAACAAATGGACATACTGTGGGGGGGGGGGGGNGAGGGGGAGGGGTGGGGCGGGTTAGAACGAGGATTAGGTTAATTGAACTGCATAAAGTTTACAATTTAGGCGGTATGCAAAAAAGGAAGATTAATTTTTTTTGAAAAAAACACCGTTTAAAGTAAATATATTTGAATTGAGGCAATTTAGCAAATTCAGAGCTAAAATATGTGCTTAAAAAAATTTGTGCTCCCATAATAAAATATTGTCATAATTTTACCATGGATTCATCCTTGGAGTGTGTTTCGACACCAAAGCTGGACAAAGGCATTTCGTAAGAGGTAGAATATTATAGAAAGTACGTGGAAGACACCGATCGTGAACCGGGCGTAGTGCTAAGTGCTTTCTGCAGTATGCGCTCTCCTCACGGTATCCTAAGTACTTTGGACGTGTCATGGCGTCATGCTCCTAATTGTTACCCAAAGCCAGACGAGACCTTTTAGAAAGCTAATCTTTCCGCATTTTTAAAACCAACTGCACTCGTGGCTGACAGGACTGTAAAAAAGGCCATTTAATGTCGTCGTCAACGGACACGGTGTGATAGTAGATAGACAACCGCCTTTATCTTAAGTCGATTCCAGGGTGTTAAGTTTTAGAATGCCTTAGTGAATTATTTCTAATCTCCAGATATTGCGTGATTAAATGCAAAATCAATCAGCATCTCGACGCTCATAATGCACATTAATGCTTACAATATTTATTTATTTCAAATGCCAGGCGTTTTGGTAGTTATCATTAGCCCCATAGCTGACTTCTGGCTTCATAGAGAGGAGGAGGAATATCAAAGTGAGAAAAATTCGAGAGGGTCATTCACAGATGTAAAAGAGACAGGCACAAAGGTAGAGAAAAGGGTAAGGTGAGTACCGTGAAAGTGGTCGAACATGCATTACAGTGGGATGGCGATATTTTGAAGCGAGAAGCCAACTGCCGGTTTAAAGACTTTTTTTGCCGTATGAGTATACGTTGCCAAGGGAGCACCACGTGGAGGTAAGTCAACCGCGCAGCTCAAATGGCCATATATAGGCAACTGTATTGTTTTCTTGTATCGTTTCAACTTATTATCCACCAAAATCCAAATAACTGCAAAATTTCTAAATAATTGAAACTTCGATTTTCAATGAGAACAATTTCAAATGAGCTTAAGTATATTTATTAATTGAATAAAAGTGGAATGACCTTGAAGCAAAGAAAACAAAAGTTATATGAAAGCGCTTAGATTGCGAATCCTTTGAAATACGTGCAAACGGCGATTTTATAGCTTCTATTGCAGTTTTTTATACCACCTCTCACATACACAATTACCAAATTTTACAATCTATAATGAAGAAATTTTTTCGATTAAAAGAATTTAAAAGACAGTTAGAAAACATTATCGCCTTACTGTTTTCATTTGCCCCTTTTCAATTGTTCTGAGAATTAAGACCGTCTGACCGCCTCCGACTTGTTCGTGCTTCATAACACCATTATCTACAGTGATTGTGGATGTAGGTGTTCGACCATCTGGAGTTTTCTCCTGGAACTCTTTGCCGAGGTAAAATACATCGTCACTATTTTGGACTTTATTCTCACAATGAAATTTGTATTGCCCCTGAGGTAGTTCCAAAATCTCGATGGTGTTTATCGTACTGTCAGCAATTTCCAACAATTCTTGCTTCACTCCTAGATGCTTCAGGAGTTCTGCGAAACCCTGACTTTTCTCTAGTTGCCACTTTCCAACAAAAGGTTCCATGCCTTTATTTTACAGTTTTGCCTTCTTAGCAGGGACCCAGCTCTTATATACCAACAAATTCCCACATTCGCTAATTGCCTGATGTTATAATTGACAAATGTGATTACGTAAACGAGTTCATTTGCCTCCAATTGAAATTGCTATCATAATTGCTATTTTCGCTTATAAGTCATTCAACCAAGTGATAAATCATTCAAGAAACAAACAACTTTATCGATGATGATGGTGATGATGACGATGATGAAATTTTATTCACAAAATTCAAAAAACGAAGTCACGTGAAATATGCAAATCCTACATAAACGTCCTACGCATTATTTTGAAATTGAGAAAAATTATAATTCAAAATCATTTATTTTTTTATATCAAATGGCAGGCATTTTGATAGTTATCATTAGCCCTTTAGCTGACTTCGGTCTTCGATCAGGGGAGGAACATCAAAGTCACAACAAGTTGAGATGCAAAAGAGACAGACACAAAGGTAGAAAAGGTGAGGTGAGTACTGTGGAAGGAATCGAATATGACATACAGTGGGGTGATGGTAGTTTGAAGTCAAAAGTCGAATGCCAGTTAATAGACTTTTTGCCGCATGAATATACGTTGCCCAGTGTGCACCACGTGGAGGTAAGTCTATCGCACGCCCTAAAATTCAAAATAAAATTAAAAAGCATGTTTCGGAGCCTATGCTACCACCAAAAATTCATTAGAGATGTGTTGAAAGAAGATTGCTTATGCTTTTCGATTTATTAATCTTAAGTGATTTCTTTATTTTCAGATTTTTATCACATTTTTCGCCTTAAGAAGCCTTTAATTGATCAGTTCTTCTCTTGCGAAGGTTGCAAGTAAAACTGCATCCATATTCCTAGACAATGTCAGTACTACCTTCAAATGACTCAATTCAATTGTGCTGATCTTTAGACAATCTCTATTGGACTGTGGAAAGTAGACGAATGGTGGGCTCACCAACCAAATATTTGTAATCGCGTTCCATCATGTTACCATTGCTAACCTCGCAAATACCTAATCAGTTAATATTTATTGTATTTTAGTTAAATTTACCGAAATCACCTGATTTCTCCTTGAACACCTTATGGGCCCCCTAGAACTGATTGTGGAATGTCTGTAAGAATTTGAGAACACCACTTTAGTTAGGAGACGGTGAAAAGGTTGCAGCGAATGCTACACAAAAAAAACAAGTTTTGACTAAATCACAACAATACCCTATGGCAAAATCCCCCCCCACCAGCATGAAATTTCTGTCTAAATGACCAAAGTAATCTCAACGGTACGGAGGAGAACGAACGTGCCTGTTGAATAGCGCTTATTACAAAGTATGGGTCACTGACACGGAATATAACCATTGAAATACAATTAGGGCTGCTATAGACTACCGGTTTGATGAAAGGTCACTGGATCCACAATCGAACTTCCTAACTACTTGATCGACAGCACGATCGAACCTTTGGGATAGTCGAAGTAGCAGTCTTGTTAGTTCTGTGCACTCCATGAGACCAAGAAAAATGTTCTCATCAGCTTTTAAGGGCCTCACTTTCGTTGAATTGAGGTTGGAACATTCGTATGAGGAGAAAATTTCGCCCAGTGACGCCCGAGTGCTCTTAGGTAATGATCGAAATTCCGGGTTCATGTGTGAAATTCTGAGCGATGCCAGATTCATTTACTTCCATGTTGGGTCATGCCAATTCATGGTGCAGCAGGGAGAGGATTTCAAAGGAAAATTGGCTGGTAGTCCATGCATTCATTAAACACAATCACACTTACGCTCGGTGTTGCATTCTGATAGGCATAAATCGGTACAATTAATGCGGATATCAGTTTATCGTATAAAGATGACATTAAACATTGTTCTAGCCCGGTACGAGTATACGTTGCCCAGGGTGCACCACGTGGAGGTAAATCTATCGCACACCCTCTGAAATGGGAAACCATGGCTGCAAAAGTATCAGGAAACACATCACCCGAACTTCTTGTCTGGATGAAGCAACTTTGACCAAGGTCGAGATAGAAAACCAGTTGATTGGGTGATCCTGGAGCATATGAGAAGTAGAATTCTCCCATTTTTGTTTAAATTTAAAAAAAAAATTTAGTGAGATAGAAATTAATAATTTTCATTTCTTCCCAAGAATAGGGCCCTCTCTAATGATCACATTTCTACCTAATCATTCAGGATCAGTTAAAAGTGGTGCAAAGTTTAAACATGAACTTTAAATTTCTTTTCGATATTAAGAAATTAAAGCAGAAACTTTAAATTTCAAAGTTGATTGACCCTCTGGTTAGCCGAAAATGATAGCGGTGATGAAATTGTACTCTCAGTTTGGAGTGCAAAAACCCAACAATCGATGATTCTTTTTTATGTACGAACTCCATTAAAATGAATTAAAAATATTCTCCAAGAAATTAGGGACATATTTCATAATGAATAAATATATTTTAGGGGAAATAGTATTATTTTTCATAAATAAATAATCAATAGGGGTCGGGATAGTAAAAGTGTTCTCTAGGCTGAAGGTTTTGCAAAATTTAAAATAATATCGAATCGTGGAAAAACACATCATTCTAGGGGGTCAACATTAATAGGTCGTAACCGTGGTTCAAGAAAAGATACGTTTCAATTGTCCAAATTGTAATTGAACCATTTGGAATATACTGTGAATGGCGTGTTGTGTAGTAACTTTCTAAGGTCCAATCAAATGATCTAAATCCACAAAAATGCCTTCCTCTAATTGGCTCACTCCCTCTACCAACTACCTTACTGAACGCTTTGGGCTCACGCCTAATTTGACCGTATAAATAGCTCACAAATTGGCTTCCTTCGGCTTACAAGCGTATTATATTATCATGGAGGCGTTCGTAGGCAAATGGAAGATGGAAAAAAGTGAGGGCTTCGATGATGTTATGAAATGCCTTGGTGTCGGGTTTATCAACCGAAAACTTGGTAATACCATGAAACCCAACTTTGTTGTCGAGAGCCTCGGTGATGGTCGATATCGGATGAAATCGGAGAGTACCGTCAAGACCACCGAATTCATTTGTCGTCTTGGAGAAGAATTCACAGAAATAACTCCCGACGGCCGTGAAGTGAGGTCCATTATCACAATTGAAAATGGCGTCATGAAGCATGTTCAGAAGGGTGATGGGAAGGTCACCTATATTGACAGAGAAATTGAAGGCAACACAATGAAAACCGTAATTTTGGTGTTTATAATCTAAATTCATGTTGTCTCTCGTTCGATTTTAAAGTCACTTATTTCCATTTTAGACCGTGAAAGTTGACGATTTTGTCTGTGTGCGAATTTACACCAAGTTTGAATAAATATCTTCGCTCATCTCTCGCTCTCTCTCTCTCTTGGATTCAAACTTTTGTAATAGACGTTTTCCACTCTTTCTATTTGAAATAGATTTTGTTTATTTAAATGTTGTATTTGCCTTTTTTTGTTTACCGGGATTTTACAGCTTGACGGTTGAATTAATGCTTGGAGAGGTAATCAAACTGCGGCCCGAGTGGGTCTTGTCTACACAACTTGCCAGCGCACATGGTATTCATGTACACTTTGGTTCTCTTAGCTCTGCACCATTGAAAATACGAAAGAAATCGTTGAAACGGTTCTGTTTATCAATTCTGCAACGTGCAACGCTCCTATGCTGTGTAGTACTGCCACTGGATACCACCTGGTCGCAATTCCACTAAGAGTGACTGATGAAGATGCGTTTAACTCGAGACAATACTAGCCAACCGTAGACATTGTGTTTGAAAACAGCTTTCATTAATATTGCCGATTTTTGACTAATGATAGTTTCATTCTCACTTAATTAATCATCAGGATGCCAAGGGCGAAATGGATCTGATTTTTGATAAGAGTCATCGGAGGACCCTGGTTTGATGGATTCTACCACTTTTCGCGTAAACTGGCATTCATTGAAGGTAGAATGACCAGTCATTTCCCTATCAAAATATTCACATTTGTTTACTAAAGCCAGTGTAACAATATTTCCTGCCATATCAACTGAGTTTTCGGCACATTATACAGGTCTGAGTCAATGCCATGAATTTGACAGCGTAGTAAACTACTAAAGGTAGGAAACAGAACAGGAACCCACTTATATCAGTTAAAGCTAATGCTTTCAAACCGGAACGGTAACAATTTGACCTAGTTTCCTTCCACAAAGCCGTCAGTTGTAAGGAGACAGACCCTTGCATTTTGGTGAGTCAATCGGGACACTGTTAGGTGCACATGTACCCGACAACGTGGTCGGGCGGTGCGTGAATCACACCACTTTCAATTTGGTAATGACCTTAGGGCCTTAGTGTCCTGCGGTCTCACTTCCACACACACACTGCCATCTCTTCCCATTTGACCCCCATAAAAGAGGGCTCAATTGTCGACATTTTTCAAACGAGACGACAAACTTAATTAAACAATTCTTTTTTGTGAGCACCGTATAAAATTTAAACTTTTAGGCTTTTGTAAAATCAATTTATTAGTTTAAACGAGGATGGCGGATTATGTATTTGAGCAACTTTCAAAGATTTAAACAATTTTTTTGCAGAATAACTCTAAATCCTAAGGGAGATTTTTCTGACTATTCTTCTGCTAATCAGTTTTTTGTTTAATGTTTCAGATAAGCCTCTACGCTCTTGCAAAAGAACAAACTCGACAGTACTTTTAAGACAAAGTGCAGATAGAAGGATTGTTAAAGTCTAATCAAAATTACCCTAGTAAATGTATGAGAAAAGAAGTTTTAAAACAATGTGGATAGAAGCGGTTTTTTTGCATTCAGTAGATTCGAGGCTTTATCCGGGTGGGTGTACGTATTTGAGGTATTCTCAAACATTTATTTATTTAGTTCAAATGGAAGGCGTTTTGATAGTTATTATTAGCCCTTTAGTTGACTTCAAGCTTCACAGAGAGGAGGAGGAACATCAAAGTGAGAAGAATTCAGGAGGGGGGAATAGAAGACTGATTCACAGATGAAAAAGAGACACAAAGGCTCAGAACGGGTAAGATGAGTACTGTGAGAGGGGTCAAATATGATACAAAGGTGAGGTGAGTACTGTAAAAATAGTCGAATATGATATAGAGTGGGGTGATGGTAGTTTGAAGTCAGAAGTCAACTGCCGATCAATAGACTTTTTGCAAGTCAGAAGTCAACTGCCGATCAATAGACTTTTTTGTCTTTGAAGTCAGAAGTCAACTACCGTACAGTGGGGTCATGGTAGTTTGAAGTGAGAAGTCAACTGTAGGTGAGGTGAGTACTGTGGAAGTAGTCGAATATGACACAGTAAGGTAAGATGATTACTGTGAAAGGGGTCGAATATGACATAAGTGAGGTGATGGTAGTTTGAAGTGAGAAGTCAACTGCCATGAAGTGAGAAGTCAACTGCCGAATAATAGACTTTTTTGCGTATGATTATACGTTGCCCAGGGTGCACCACGAGGAGGTATGTTTATCCCACACCCCTATTCTCAAATATTATTACCATTGTATAGTAAGCGACGAAAGGGTAGGTGGATTTCGTGTTTAGGATTTTAATAGCTTCTCTTCGAGCCAAAATTCCAATTGGAACGAAGAAAAAAAACGATCGAGATATTTGCCACCTCGAGGTCTATATTGAAAATTTGAGCTTATTCAGTAGGAATGCCCCCCCCCCTCCCACAATTTTATCAATTTCAAATTTTATTGCATAAGAAACACTCAATCACCTTCGATGAGAATACGACTCCAATTCCCCTTGATCGACTAATGCATGCTCTTTTACGAGGAGTCTTGTTGTGCTGTATAATGGGGGAAAAACTCTGCTCAAATTCTGATTCGCCCAGCTTAAACGACCTTCACACACTTACCTACAGTGTTCAATTCACATGCATTCCGGAAGATCGGAGTTTTCGGTTGTTGTTGCTGCTGGCATTCATCATCACAGTGGCAAGATACTTTAATAAGAACACGGAGATATGGATATTGCTGCTGAGGGCATTGTGGTGCATATGTGGTGCTTTCCCGAACTCAACCATAATAATACCTGCAATCTATGGGATTTAGTAGCAATAGGAATTTATCAATACACTACCACATGGCACTAGTTAATTCGATTAGAAACCGTGTTAACTCTTTTTCAGTCGTAGCTCTCAGGTAGACCTTAAAACGAGGTTCAATAATCTGATGGTTGGGATACAGGAAAAGTGTGATTGAAATGAATTTATTAACTTGTCTACAATTTGTCAGAATGAAATGACACGCATTGTGTTCGTGATCTCCATAAGGTCAAAACCCCTGTTTCCCAAATGCAAAGCTTGCTTAAATCCCAGTTTTCATAAAACTACAACAGTACTCCCTGATATGAATATGGATAAGTTGCAAATACACGTGTCAATATAGCATTCAGATGATGAAATCGACTTGACTAGACAGTTATCAGATGAATATTCTACGAAACATTTTGCAAATTAAACAGCAAATTTCAGAATAAAGATGTTTTAATTCTGTTTTTTTTTGTTTCAATCCTAATTCAATAGAGTACTTCTGTAAGGAACTACCTAGAACACTTCCACAAATAAGTTAACCAATCAATGAAATCAATTTATCGATTGATTACTTAACAGATCACAAATACAATGGCGATTCGTATAACATGCGCTGTTATTATAATTTTTTATCAATAAGAAAGTAGTTGGATGCTTTTATTATGAAAAATAATGGAGTACGCGATAGACTTACCTTCACGCACAAACAAATTACAAAAAATTAGTAAAAAGTTTAATTACAGAAATATATTTATCCAAGCCACAAACCGTAAACAAAGATTTGAATATTTGATCCTTAAAGTGTAGTCAGGGCAAATTCAGTTTCGTTGCTATCCTTGCAGCTAGGAGAAAGTAAACTACGTTTATGCTGTTAGAGTGAGGACCGATGAGTAGATCCAATTAATTTAAATAGGTAAATTTTGTGTTCAGGGATGCGCGATAGACTAACTTCCAAGTGGTGTACCCTGGGCAACGTATATTCCAACAGTCAGTTGACTTCAAACTACCATGATCCAACTGTATGTCATGTGCTAAAGCTTCTTCTCTACCGTTTTGTCTGTATTTTTTACACCGAAGAATCGATCTTCTGTTCCTCCCCCCCCCCCTCTCGATTTTTTCTTCAATTTGATGTTCCTTCCCCTCTGTGAAGCCTGAAGTCAACTTAAGTGTTAATAGTAGCTATTATAACGCCTGGCATTTGATATAAATAAATAATTATAGATTGAAAGTCTTCTAACTTGATTAGTAGTCTCCTTCCTACTTTTCCGACGACTAGAGCAGATCCTATTTGTATGATAAGGTAGGACTAATTTTGTCATTAGAGCTAATTAGGCTGACTTTTCCCTCACTGGACTAAGAAGCTTTCTTCCTACTAGCGAAGAACAGCAATCTATCCAAATACACAGACCATGAACGTTTTGGATACAATCGAGATAAGTGCGACAATTTCTCTTTCTAACTCCGTAGGGTCATCTTCGTAAGTCAGATTCAAGCTTCAACAAAGGGATTGGAAGGAAAGTTTCACGTAAATAAATATGTTGCTAATTTTTTAAAATCTCCAGGAGAGCGTATTACGAATTCTCTTTTTTGCCTATTCTTTCGTTATCTTTAACTTTATCTTGCTGACATATGATATTAGCTCCATAACAGTGTCCTTCATTTCGACACTCGGGGACTATGTACGGCATGACTCTTCCTGGGCATCAATCCCTTTTTCTGAAAGGCATAGCGAACGCGAGTTGGCTTTACTTGAAGCGTCGTAACTAAATACAAACCATAATTCGTGTGTTCAATTATTTCTTTGAACTATTGCATTGACTTCTAAGAAATAAGAATATGCATTCGGTTTCTATTATAATTATGAACTTTTATTCAATTACATCGAAAATTTCAAAACGTACTTTTTAAATTGTTTCTTTCCCATAAAACATAAATTTCTTTCAATTGAGCCGATGAACTAATTACCGCGGAAACCGTTATTCACTCAGGTTCCCGTGAATGCAAAAAAATAAGCATTTAGGCTTTAATGTTTACTCTAAATGACTGTCAGTTAATTATTCTTTTATCAAGTTATGTATAAACCACTTCATCAACTTAATTCAGCCAATCGTAATTAGAATCAAGCATGGTTTCATTTGAGCCTCCAAATACAATGGAGTTGAGCTATTTACACTGAGCTGAGTTGACATTCCAGTCAGCCCGTTCGGAAGTGTTTTCTGCTCAAAAAAAGTGTGTTAATGGGAATTCGTATCTCCAGATATACTTGGGCCAATACGGATATCAGAAGCCATTG